CGCTAATCAAAGTCTGATCAAACTCTATATCCGATACATGCTGTTCTGAAACTCTAGGCTGTTGCGCTATATAGCCCGGTTCGTTAATGAAAGTCTAATTAACCTCTATATCCATTCCGTGCTCTTCTGAAACTCTAGGCTCCTGTTCCGCATTGCCTAGTTCGCTAATCAAAGTCTGATTAAACTCTATATTCGATACATGCTGTTCTAAAACTCTAGGCTGTTGCGCTGTATAGCCCGGTTCGTTGATTAAAGCCTAATCAACCTCTATATCTATTGTATACTCTTCGAAAACTAGAGATTCTTCTCTTCTAGTATGCGGCTACCGAGCTACACCCTCGGTAAGGTGTAACGGAACAAAGGCCGGTATATAGCCTTATACTTCTTAGATAGCCAAATCAGCTTGTCTCCGGACTTGCGCTTGCGACTAATCGTAACCTTCGATGCTTAAGGCGCGGGAGCGCTAGTTACGATTTTCTAACTTCTACTCGTAACCTCTGTCTCGGATCTCATTGCCGACTTATTCTAGCCTAGAGCGTCACCGTTCTATAGATGGAGATTGGTAGATTATAGTAGAGGTAAGACACTGCGGACTAAAGGTCTTCGTTATCTAAGATTGTAGATAACCTGCTATCGCGAGGGTCGTACTAGATCAATATATTAGTCTAGGCATAGAACGCAATTCTCCTTAAACCCTTAGTCTTAAGTTTAGTAAGGTCTAAGGCTATAGCGCCTTTGAAACTAGCTCCTAGAGGCAACAGTATTGCGAGGCTAATCGTAAAGGATATTTAGAGCATTACGGGAAACATCAAGTCCTATTTGCTCTTTCGTACGCTCCGTAGGCTAAGAATTAGCGAACACTTTAATAGATATATATTCGTTGAAATAGCGGCGATAAGGGAATGTTGATTCTTGCTCGTCGCCATCCTCTTTATCCTTGTTATTATCTATACTGGATGATGCTAGCGGAAAAGCATACCGCTCGCGCGATCGAGGATAAATAGGAATCTCTAGACGGTCGGGCAATTAGCGCTATCTCAGACTATGCCTATCTCTACCGTAGTAGGATATACGAGGCTCCCGTCTATCGTTATCGAGCGCACCCCGTAGCAGTGAATTCGTAAACTGTATAGGGATCTTAGCTGTACTATAGTCGCGGAGAGGTGACCTCGCCCTAGTTCCCGTATCCGCGCGAAGTGATAATATTTCTTAAAAAGGGAGGCTGCTAGCCTTTGCCGCCTACAATATAGAATCGCAGGATCCCCGATTGTAAGATCTAGATAGCGGGGAGTGAAGCGTCTAAAGTAACGGTAGAACTTGAGGAGAATTTGCGGGAGTCGACGACCCCTTTCTAATTTCTGCGAGTCGCTGTCTAGTTCTAGGAGTGCTTAGTTTGTAACTACAAGTACGGAATAAACCTGTGAATTATCTTGACGTAGGCTGCTTCTTCGAATTCACTATAGTGCCGTATAATAGGCTCTACTACATAGTAGACTTATCCCGTAACACACGCCGCGACCTAGTCTCAAATTCCACTTAATAGCTGCTTTGCTACCGGAGCCTTCTCTACATCGTATACTCCTCTTATTCGGCTTTCCTCGGCGCAAACCCTATAGATCTCTTGCCGTATGCGTTTGTTGTCTAGGAGGAAGGTATTGAAGGTAGTTTCGTAGGTTGCGGCCTAGAGTATTGTCTCTTTTAACCTGTAAGAGCCTAAGTAGGCGGAGAAGCTTGGGCGCCGAGCATCTCCGAAAAGTATATACGAATCGTGCGGGGCTATTTGCCTGCATGTTAGTACACTACCGAAAGTGAGGCCTGCTTAATACGTAGTGGATGTCTAAGGAGTTTAGCTTGCAGTAGTTTGACAGGGTTGTAGTCGATTGCTTATATTTACGGATTTACTCGGTAGTAGTAGAGTCGATTATAGGATCGAGATATAGCTAGTTTTACTAGCTAAATCGGGCATACCGTAGATCTAGCGGTCGCCGATATTATATCGTAGTATATCGATAAAAATTTAGCTATATAGGCATATATAAGGTGTTATTAAAGGCATATAAGTAGGCTAATTTCTACGCTCTTCTAACCTTTATTATTACGCTCTTATAATAGCTTATCTTATCCCTAGTTTCTTCGATATTTCTATACGCTCTTAGCTCTTTAATCTACCTAAAGAAGGGGTATTCTTTAATGCCGACGAGTAGTAGAAGATCTACGTATTTGCGTCTAATTTTTAGAAAGAATATAAGCAGCCTCGGTATAGAGATAGACTCGCTTAGCGGACGATTTGCTATTATCGTTATTAGCGTAACAAGGCTCGTTAGTATAAGGTGCCGGATAGTATTTAGAAGGTCGAATACTATAAGGAAGCGTATAACGCTTCTTATATAGTAATTGCTATATATTGCTATAGAAAGGACGCCGAGCTATATAGATACAAGATCGCCGGTTCTTTAGCTAATCTAGGTGCTACTAGTAATAACCTATACTGCTATTCGATAGATTATATAGTAAGCCGTAGTTGCTATAAAGAGCGAGGTTAGAAGCTAACGGTTAGTAGGACGTAAGAAGTGCGAGTAATAGCTATAAGGTCGTTCTTAAGCACTTAATAGAGCAGTATAACTATAATACTAGCTATATATAGCATTAGGTAAAGGAAGGACCTAATGCTAACCGCTTTGCTATTATTAGAGCCTATCGTATAAAGCAAGGTATTATAAAGTAGTCGAAGGCAGGTAAGAAGAATGCGAAGAAAGTAACTCTCGCTAAGAAGGGGAACGTAGACCTCTAACTCGACAACCTAAACAAGCACCTAGCGCCCCTTACTAACCCTACGTATAGCGCTTATATATATTATAAGGCTATCTCGGTCGTAATTAAAGGGCGTATCTATAAGGGGATTATATAGCAGGCGGATTAGCAACGAGAGTTGTTAAATAGTAGACTTAGTAGTAATATAAGTCGCTTACGTAACTAGGCTTTAGAGGCTTTAGATAAAGCCTAAGGAACCGTAAAGTAACAGCTAATCCGGGATTAGTTATTTCTCTTCGACGTAACGTATAAAACGACTAATACCGACTAGTATCTGTTTATAGTGTACGTATGTAATAGATTTGAGTCCTAGTTACTAGTAGGATATATATTACTATAGTTATAGCGAGCGAGGTTATAGTAAGCTGCTTTCCGAGTCCTAAAGTAGTAGTGTCTAAATTAGAAGCCTAAATTAGCTATAACTAACGACTTGGTATAAGAATAGTCTACTATTTGCCTATCCTTCGACAAAGAGGAGATACGATTATATCTCTATTAAAGACACGCTAAAGAGACCTTCCTTCGACACTTCCCCGAATTTCGATATCCTCTAGTTTAGAGACGCTTTAAACACGCTATTTACTACGCTAGAAGTAAGGCAGAAGTTAAGAAAGATATTACTACAATAGAGGCTAAATTACGGCTTCTTAATAAGCTAGCAGAGGCTTAGTATTTACGTAAGAACTAGGGGTCTAAGAAGTTATAGAAATAGGCTATATAGGCTCGATTAAACAATCTAGTCCTTATGCAAATTCGCACTACGTCGCTACTAGAAGGATACTATAATGCTATTAAGTACGATAATAAAAAGAAGCTCGTCTAGTATTCGATATATAGCACTATTACTAAGTTATTAACAATCGACGCTCGATAACTATATAAAGCCGACCTTTAGTACTATAGACTTAGCAAGCGTATATAATATTAGAAGGTTAAAGAATTGGCGTATTTCGAGCATTTAATACCCTCTACTATATAGGACTTCGTTAGGAGACAACTCGCTATTGCGGAAGAATATAAGGCGAAGGCATTACTACTATACGAAGGCCTTATATTATATCGTAACGGACAACCTCCTTACTACAATTGCCTACTATAGTTTTAGTAGTACCTACCCTACTACTATATCCTACGATACTACCTGTTTATAACGCCGCTAAACCTATAATAATAGCAAATTTATATTAGCTTCTATAGCGGCTTTAATAGTATAGAAATTAGTTAGTACTAGCGGTAGCGAGACAGTACTATCCTCTTCCTCGAGGGCTTTAAAGATACTTAAGCTACTAGCGACCCCTACTTTCGTAACCTTCGCGCTTACTTTAACGAGGTATAGAAGGCCTCTTATAGCACTTCTATACTATCCGTAACGATAAGACTATCTACGATAGTACGCTAAAGGATAGATTTGTAAGAGGCTTCTTACGGCGAGTTAAAGATACGCTTACTTAGTTAGCTAACTTTATACTAGACGACTTCCTTCGAGAAGATACGCCTAAGGTTTAATTAACTAGTAACCGATAGCGATAGTAGAGATAACAACCTCTACTAGTACCTATTACTCTAACGCGCCCTCGCTATCTAACGCTTCCGCTACTACTACTACTACCGCTAGTAGCAACTAAATATAGGCCTCGACCGTTTAATTTTCTATAGCTTAATAAGACGCTCTTATTACTAACGCGCCCTTATATTATCGACCTTCTTACGCCGAGTCCGCTATCCTTCTAACTCTTACCTTTACCTTCTAAGCCGCTGCCGCCGCCGCTACTATAGTAGCCGCGCGAGTCGCTATTATCTATATAGTCGGCTTAGCCGCTCGATTTAGATACTATCGAGGAAATAGCGGAGGTTCTAGACCTTACTTCGCTAGTAAGAGAGGCTTCGCTATTAAAAGAAGACGTAGAAGTAGTAGAAGACTTCTTTTAGTTAAATAACGATAATGCTATACGAGAAGTAGTAGGCAAGAGGTAGACTTCTAATAATAAATACAATAGTAACAAGCGTAAGAGATTAGCGGCGAGAATGCTACCTACTATTAAGAGGCTAAAGAAGTAGAAGAGATAGCGATAATAACACCTTAGAAGCCGCTATACTAGCCTAATTAGGCAAACCGAGCTATATAAAATATCTGTTACATTTCGGAAGTTTAGTGGGTCCCATTATACGCCTAATAATCGGGACATTTCTTAGCCGGAATAGTGAGACAGTCCCGCAGAAACCCAAAGAAGTGGTACGCTAAAAACCTTGGACATACAACAGTAGCTGGCCTGCTTGGCAACATCCGAACGCGACTGCCAACCTTGAATTACGAACGTACCGAGTAAGCGACGGGGGCATCAATCTTGACCATACCCCGACCGAACACCTGCTCGCGGCTAGACTCACTATAGCTGCCCTCCTGACTTCCACTAAAACACCGACACTACTAGCGCCTAGCTACTAAGAGAGACAGAAGCAACGCAATAAGAGGGAGAAAAAGCACGTAAAAGAACACCGCAATAAGCTGCAGCAAGCGTACAAAGACGGTATGTAAGGTTCGAAGAAGTGATGACCTACCTAATTGAATATCTAGCTAACTTTAGTTACAGCTTAATTGGACATTATCCGAAGCGACCCCAAAAACTGTTGCTCTCTGCCGTGACGACCGATACGGCCCTCGACGATGATTAGACCTTAATTGAACACCTAGCACTACATCTACTAAGCCTTACTCCTCGCCGACACGACCGACGCGGGCCTCAACTTTAATCAGACCTTAATTGAGCATCTAGTACTGCATCTACTAAGCCTTACTCCTCGCCGATACGACCGACGCGGGCCTTAACTTTAATCAGACCTTAATTGAGCATCTGCCTCTACATCTACTAAGCCTTACTCCTCGCTAAGATAACCGACGCGGGCCTTAACTTTAATTAGACCTTAATTAAGCATCTACCTCTATATCTACTAAGCCTTACTCCTCGCCGATACGACCGACGCGGGCCTTAACTTTAATTAGACCTTAATTAGACATCTGGTTCTATATCCGCCTACGTATTATACAAGATGTCGAGGGTCCTACATTTTAGGGGCTCTACTGCCCTATGCCGTACCGGTATAGTTATATAGGATGTAGAAGGAGAAGAAGAGTGTCTTACGTTGTCGGAAGCGGTACTAGCAAGATAGTTATATACGGACATCCGACGCTATCCGGAGTGTTTGTAGTTTCGCGGTGCTAGGAAGTATTAGAATATTGTCTTACCGATGTCGAAAGCGATTAGGGTGAAGAACTCTACTCTTAAGCCGATAACAATTACTAAATTAACTAAAAACCTCGGAGTTTTGCTAGTAAGTAATAGGCACATCGCACTAGCAAATGATAGTATAACGCAGTAGAGAGATTAGTATCGGCGAGTTCTTAATAAGAACAGAGGGCTACCGCAGATTATGGAAGAATTAGAGACGACCGAACGCGGAGGTAGTAAAGATAAACTTAATAGAAGCGACGACGAAGAGATTGAGGAGGACAAGGAGGATAACGAGACTAGACGGCATTAAGGTAGTAAAGATGAAATTCCTACTACCGACGACGATAACGACGATAACAACGATACACACGCCCGCGAAGAACGTCACCCTAGGCGTGCTATAGACGCTCGCCGCCGCGTAATAGAGTTAGAAGATCTGTTAGATAGCAATAGGACGCGAGGCACTCGAGCTACTATAGAGAGTCGCCTAACCCCTCTAAACACTCTACGTCCGCCTATACCAACCCTTTACAAGTCTATAACTGCGCGACGCTAGCAGATTACCGACCGAGAAGAAGATCTTATACATATACACATCCCGGAAGACTATACACATATATTAGACGATAATTTCTTTCGCGATGCAAGCAAGCGGAAGAGAAAATTACCTAAACACAGCGCTCTGCTATTAGTCCTAAAGCTAGATGATCGCAGAGGCAATATCGGCGGTAAGCGGAAGGCAGGATTACCTAAACATAGCGCTCTGCTATCAAACCGAAAGCTAGATAATCGCGGAGGCAATATCGACGGTAAGCGGAAGGCACAATCACCTAAACACAACGCTCCGCTATCAAACCGAAAGCTAGATAATCGCGGAGGCAATGTTAGCGGCAAGCGGAAGAGGGAATCATCCGAATATAGCGCTCCGCTACTAAAGCGAAAGGTGGATGATCGCGGGGGCAATGTCGGCGGCTAGCCGAAGACTATATAGGTAAAGATTACGGGAAAGGTAAGTACTTTACACTATTAGTTATAGGACAATACTTACAAAAAAAAAACAGGCGTCGTCGCTCTCGCAGCCTTCTAATAACGACGAGGCGAAAATGACATATAGTAAGTTAATCAAGTCTCGTATAGGGCCAGCTTAACAGAGAGTGCTCCTTAAAAACATCTAGAACACGATTACGGGCGGAGAAGATAGCAAAATGCATGTTAATATCGCCGGATTCGAGTCGAGGGAATTAGACATAGCCGCATTAATAGACCCACAGACTTCAGACTTCGAGTTTACATATAGCCTAGTAACACTAGTCTACGCATAGGCGGAAGCATATCAGCCCGAACGATACTACAAACTCTTCTAGGCGGACGAGACTGTTTAGGAAGAAGATAATAATTCACACGTCGACTAAGATAAGAATATCGAGCAGGTTTTAGATAAGGGTTCGTCCGATGATTATGTCTAGGAGTCCTCTTACGAGGAAGATGAGGACCGGGAGATCGACTAGGACGAGGATCAATCTTGCCGAGAGTAATACCTATGCCCGGCATATACCGCGTCAATTAGCTCACCGTGCTACAAACTTCAGCCACGCCGTAATCCCTATTAGACGAGGCGCCCTTATTGGAGTTCGATTCTATGTAGGCGAGACGCCACTACTAGAGATTGGTTCTATATACGACGTAATACATAGAACTTGTTTATACTTTGATTCTACGCGTAACGCCTTATCATACTTTGATTCTACGCGTAACGCCTCATCATATTTTGATTTTACGCGTAACGCTCGCGTTAGACATTGATTTAGACTTGGCGCTCTTATCGGAGTTTGATTCTACACGTAACGCTACTACTAGAACTTGATTCTGCACGTGACGTGTGATTACACTTTGATTCTGTATGTAACGCCCTCATTATCAGAGATGTAAAAACCTTAGTAAACTAGTAAATAGTAATTACTATAGTAATAGTAAAATTACTATAGTAATTACTATTACTATAACTATTACTATTACTAGGGACCTTCGAGAAATAGTAATAGTAATAGTAATAGTAAAATAGTAATTACTATTCTACTATTATAGTAGTTTTTCTACCTATTCTAAGCTATAGAATTACTTAATAAGTATAATATACTATAATATACTATAATATAATTAAGGATAGTCTAATATTAAGAGTAGAAATATCTATTACTATAGTATATATATAATAGTATAGTAGCGGCTTCTACTAGTCGCTATAGTCGATAATATATATATAATAGTATAGTAGCCGCTAATATTAGCCGCTATAGTTGCTATTATCTAGTAAGGGTAGGTATACTTATATAGACAGTCTTTCTAATAGCTAGATAGAGCCGTTATCTATTTCACACTACATAATCGTTACAATTCTATTATATTATAGCCGTATACTTAATTCATGTTTTCTATATTTATACTAGCTATAGGATTACTTATATAGTACTCTAGACTATATAGATATTTATAGTATAATATAGGTATAAAAGATTAATAGTATCTACCTAAATAAAGAAACTACTATATTAAAAATAATATAATACCGGTATTCTTATTATTAGCTAGTAACCGGCCCTACACCTATAGGCTAGTTTTAAGCCTATATAAGAGGCCTCCTTCTATAGAGTAGATAGATTATTAACCTCGTATAGTATATTGTTTATGTTACACTTCTATAATGCCTATATTGCAGGGCTCTAGTTATTAGCCTAAGCGACAGTCTCGTTATCCTATCTTGCTAAACATAGCTGCCCGTATTGCTATAGGTTATGTTACCCTCGGTAGCCTATACTATTACTACTAGTAGTAGTAGTAGTATTAGTTTCCGTCCTTTATTAGAGCCGAAGGTAGGGCTATCTCTTTATATCTAACAGGTTCGGGTGTATTAAAGGTAGTCTCTAGGCACGAATAGCTATAACCGAAGCGAGGGCACGATAAGAGCCTACGATACGGACGATACCGAAGTATCTTAAGGGGCTGTTACGACAAGTAGAGAAACCTCTTAACGAGGGCATCGCTTTAACCCCGAAAAGCTACAAACCCTTAGGACTATTACAGCTTAGGGCCTAGTTTATAACTATAGCTAGCTTCTAAGGACTCGGCTCCGGGTCGAAGACCTATTTAGTACCGCTTGCTCGAGATAAGCTACCGCCTAGCCTAAAAGGGAGATAGATTAATTACCTATCGACCTTAGCGGGCCCGCTAAGACTATCTATACGATAGCAATTTCTAGATTATAGGTCGGATGCCTAGATAGTTTCCCTATTAACCGGGTAGATTGTTTTAGGATTCGCTACCTCGTTCGGATAGTACTTAGCCTTCTACTAGAAAAAGAAGGTCCCCGCCCCCTCCCCCCTCTCCGCCTAGCTAAAAGAGGTAACGATAGTTAGTAAAGCGGCTAGTTTCTAAGATCTAGGTATAAATAGAGATTGTAGTTCCTTCCTCCGAGCGGCTTTTGTCTAAGTTTGCTAAATTAAAGCTCCTAAGGGTGTCTAGGCGACCCCTAGGAGGCTAAATCCGAATACTACTCCGGGGATAACATTAAAAGAAAATAGCCTAGTATACTATTTTCTCGTATAGCAACATCGAAACAAACGAGACAAAATATACTAAAACACTTTCCTATAGCATTTTATTTCAACCCCTTTATAATAATCGAATAAGCTCTAGCGAAAGCGAGTATTACGAATTAGCGGAATCTTCGGAATCTAAAAACGTACCTAACCCTATTAACGAAGAAATTAGACGACGACTAGTTATTATAAGCGCTATCGACCTAGGGGCTGTCGAGCCTTCCGCGCCCGAGGCTCTCTATAATATCGTTATAAAAATGATCTAAGGGTAAACTAAGCTTCTTCGTTAAAATAGGCGTCGCCTACTAAAGCTAGGAAGCAGTAGAAACCCTTTTTCGAAGAGTGGAACGCTATAGCGTACGTAGAACGCTTCGAGGATTAGTTAGCCGAGTACGAGCTCGAAAAGGAGACGGACTAGTATAAGGTCCGGTCCCTTACGAGGTCTACTATTACTAAGCTTTACCGAACGCTTAGAACCCTAGTTAGCTACCTAGAAAAGGACAACAAGTCTAATACTAACTAGGAGGTTTTTAAGCAGGCCTTTATAAGGGAATATCGGGATCGCGATAGCCGTCGTATTAAAGGTAGTCGTACGTAGCTTAATAACCTCTATATAGAGAGGTATACCGAGGATAACGACCTAAAGGAGTATATCCGCGAGTTTGTTAAGTCGGCGGACGGTATCGACTAGTAGGACCTTAAGAATTCTTAGAGAACGAGGCTGCTCCTAAAAGGGTTGCTATAGTCTACGGCGAAGCGTATCTTCTGTCGCTATAAGCTTAGCGAAGCTAATCCTAAGACCTTTAGGAAGTATAAAGAGGTCCTAGAGGCTATTAAGGACGATATTAATAGCTCCGCCGATACGAAGAAGTTTATTTACGGCAAGGACCGGAATAACCTAGCTTAGGTAAGGAACGATACCTTAGGAAGTAGAGGGCCTAAGTTTCTTCCTAAAT